GTTAACTATGGAAGGTGATGGATAGGATAATTTGTTTGACATTTCATTATGTATGTGTATATCAAAACATCAAGTTGTATACTTCACATATACACAGTGTTTAAAAAGAAAAGAAAGTGATCCACATTTCTTTTAGAGTGTGGTTCACACATGCTGTACAGTACATGTTAAAAAAAAGTGTTCTGGGGCCGGGCGCACTGGCTCACGCCTGTAATCTCAACATTTTGGGAGGCCGAGGTGTAGATCACTTGAGGTCAGGAGTTTGAGACCAGCCTGGCCAATATGGTGAAACCTCGTCTCTATTAAAAATATAAAAATTAGCCAGGCATGGTGGCACATGCCTGTAATCCCAGCTATTCCTAAGGCTGAGGTGGGAGAATCTCTTGAACCAGGAGGTGGAGGTCGCAGTGAGCCAAGATTGCGCCACTGCACTCCAGCCTCAGCAACAGAGTGAGATTCCACCTCAAAAAATAAAAAATAAATAATAAATAAATAAAAGCATTCTGTGAAAAAGTACCCAGTTACCATCAATCAATCTTTATTTAGGGGACCCTAATTATCTCACTCCTACATTGTAATGATGTCACACGGTGAAATATGTAACTGCAGTGTCAACAGACTAAAATAACAACCGTGGGATTTTGACTTACCAGCAGGCTCTGAGTAAACTGTGATATAAACAGACTGCAGTATCTTGCAGGAAAAGAAGATCCATTTTAATATTTCTATTTGGAAGAGATACTTAGTTTTCCAGCTCTTTAAAATGAAGAACCTGGCCAGATGCGGTGGCTCACGCCTGTAATCCCAGCACTTTGGTAGGCCGAAGTGGGCTGATCACGAGATCAGGAGATCGAGACCATCCTGGCTAACAAGGTGAAACCCCGTCTCTACTAAAAATACAAAAAATTAGCTGGGTGTGGTGGCACTTGCCTGTAGTCCCAGCTACTTGGGAGGCTAAGATAGGAGAATTGCTTGAACGTGGGAGGTGGAGGTTGCAGTGAGCTGAGATCGCACCACTGCGCTCCAGCATGGGCCACAGTGCAAGACTCCGTCTCAAATAAATACATAGATCCTATATACATACATAGATAAAATGAAGAATCTGATTGCAAATATTTGAAATAAAGACTTGCTCCAAACCAGGGTATATTAAGACTACAAGTGTAGCTGAGAACCTGATGACAAAATCATCTGCCCACAATGATATGTCTTGTCAAGGGGGAAGTCAGAACCAGATCCGAGGTCTCCTGACTTTCAGTCTAGTATCTTTTGGCTACCTCTTCTGTTGCATCAGTTTCTGCTTGAGTCTAGATGCCTTCTGGTAAAGAGCTTAGACTTTGCCTTGCGGTTTAGCCTGCATAGCACTTCCCACCTCCCACCACATTCCTTTTCTGCTACCTTCTTGTTGACTATCTCTTCGCCTTCAAGTCAGTTTCCTTTTGTTTCCCATGAGCCACACCATCATTGGACACCATGCTTCAGCCTCCTCTTGAGGTTCTGCTGTGGTTTCAGGACCCAGCCTCTTCTTCTCCCTAAGAAGAATGTAACAGTCAGACCAAAGCACAGGTGGAAGTTCATCAAGAATGTAAGGCTGGAAGTCAGAATGGGGAAGACCAACGTTCTGGTGAGGAATCAAGTACACTGTTGAGCTGAATGCATAGTTTGGACCCAGCAATTTTTTATGTTTTTATTTTTTATTTTATTTTTATTTTTGAGATGGACTTTCGCTCTTGTCGCCCAGGCTGGAGTGCAAAGGCGCGATCTCGGCTTACTGCAGCCTCCGCCTCCTGGGTTCAAGCATTTCTCCTGCCAGCCTCCCGAGTAGCTGGAACTACAGGCATGTACCACCATGCCCAGATAATTTTTGTATTTTTAGTAGAGACGGGGTTTCACCATGTTGACCAGGATGGTCTTGATCTCTTGACCTCATGATCCACCTGCCTCGGCCTCCCAAAGTGCTGGGATTATAGGCATTAGCCACCTCGCCTGGCCTATTTTTTAATTTTTTTGAGATGGAGACTCGCTCTGTAGCCCCGGCTGGAGTATAGTGGTGCAATCGCAGCTCACTGCAACCCGCCTCCTGGGTTCAAGTGATTCTCCTGCCTCAGTCTCCCAAGTAGCTGGGATTACAGGCACACACAAGTACCCCTGGCTAATTTTTTGTAGTTTTAGTAGAGATAGGGTTCCATCGTGTTAGCCAGGATGGTCTCGATCTCCTGACCTCATGAGCCACTGCTCCCAGCATAGACCAAGCTATTTTTAAACTATCTATAAATGTAATCTTTTTGGGCCTCTGCTTATCCTCTCTAACGTATAGGAATTGAACAAAAAGACCTTTAGGATTCCATTCAGCTCTAAAATCCTATGACTTCTGAAGCTTTTTTGTTGTTGTTAGTCATTCAGCAAAATGGTTTGTTTAGGGTCGTCCATGGACTCTGTACTTGAGGGTTCTGTGGAGCACGTAAGAGAAAGTGGTTTTAATCTACTTGGGAAGATAAAATTAACAGAAGCCGCTAGAGAGCAAAACAAACACTGTAGAGTCTAAGTGAAGCATGAACTGTAAATGGAGTAGGAGTTGGGAGGCAGAAATCCCCGGGCATCAGAAAAGAGACAGCCATGGTTGCTTGGGTTGGGCGATGCATGATTGATAGAGAATTCAGACAATATTTGAATACAGTATTTTGAATCTTCTGGGTTCTACAGATTCTCTTCTACTTTTCATCTAGAAATTCTGAGTTTATCTGTTGCCATTATTTGAGGGTCCTCGTAGCCCAGGTGGCAGTTACTTGGGGGGAGGGACTTTTTCTTCTTCTCTTATATGCAAAATGTGTCTGTCTGTGACTGAAGAGATTCCCTGGCCAAGAGCAAAGCTGACATTTTACTGGTCCCAAGGTGGAGATTGAACCAATTATTTCAATTCCTATTTTGTATGTCCTTGGCAACCAGAGTTAGAGAGTTAAAAAAGGAAGGAAAGCACGATCTGTAGGAAGCATAAAACCAGCTCCTCAGCCTCCGCAATGAAAAGAGAAGAAATATGTCTGAGCCACCTCTCCAAGTGAGAACATTCTTACAGCACTAGAAAAGATAACAAGTGCCAAGAAGAAGGGAGAAACCTATCCCAATTTTGAAAGCTGACAGAGGGTAAATGGGATAAAGCAAGTGAGACATTCACATATGCTCTTTCTCTTCCTCTCTTAATAACCCCCTTCTCTGCCACATATACCCACATTAGTCTTCCTTTCCTCACTGAAATATACACAGGCGCTGATGCTCAGAAAAGGACCTCGACTCCAGTATATAAAGATACTCACATTGTACTGACACATCCATAAGGATATTCATACTCACAATCACGTTCTTTCAATTCAGTAAAGAGAGATACCTGTAACATGCTCTGTAATTACTCTACTGGAAATGCCAAGATGAATAAGGCTTAGTTGCTGTCCCAAATAGCATGATAATAAACCAGAAAAAAAAAAAGAAATAGAAAATAACAATAAATAAATAAATAAAATAAACCTGTACCAATAAATATTCAAGTGAAACCCCAGAGGCATACACACACACATTTCTAATCCTACAGACATGTACGTACTTGTACGCCCACTGGTATGTATCCACACTGAAATAGAAAAACAGAACTGAGCCAGGCTTGGTGGCTCATGCCAGTAATCCTAGCACTTTGTAAGGCCAGGGAAGGCGGATCACCTGAGGTCAGGGGTTCGAAACCAGCCTGGCCAACATGGTGAAAACCTGTCTCTACTAAAAATACAAAAATTAGCTGGGCGTGGTAGCACATGCCTGTGATCCCAGTTACTCAGGAGGCTGAGGCAGAAGAATCACTTGAACCCAGGAGGTGGAGGTTGCAGTGAGCTGAGATCACACCACTGTACTCTAGCCTGGGCAACAGAGCGAGACTCCATCTCAAAAAAAGAAAAAAAAAGAAATAAAAACAGCATTGATCATTCATCTATTTTGTAAATTCTCATATCATTAATATTGAAACATTTCAGATGGGGGAGTTTCATGTTCCTGTTTTTTTGTTTTTTTCATCTTTCAAATTCTAAAATTGATTTATCTTTATAATTCAATTTTTATTTATTTATTTTTATTTTATTTATTTACTTATTTTTTGAGTTGGAGTTTCACTCTCGTTACCCAGGCTGGAGTGCAATGGCACGATCTTGGCTCACCACAACCTCCGCCTCCTGAGTTCAAGCAATTCTCCTTCTTCAGCCTCCTGAGTAACTGGGATTACAGGCTTGCACCACCATGCCCAGCTAATTTTATATTTTTAGTAGAGATGGGGTTTCTCCATATTGATCAAGCTGGTCTCGAACTCCTGACCTCAGGTGATCTGCCTGCCTCGGCCTTCCAGCGTTCTGGGATTACAGGCGTAAGCCACCATGCCTGGCTATAATTCCATTTTGAAAATTTATTTCCCTTTAAAAAACGACCCCTAGTCCTTCTCTCCCTCTCTCCCTTCCCCTCCCCCTCCCCCTCCTTTTTCTGAGACAGGATCTGGCTCTGTCTTCCAGATTAGAAGTAGTGACGTGATCATAGCTCACTACAGTCTCAACTTCCTGGTTTCAAGCGATCCTCCCACTTTAGCCTCAGCTGGGACTATAGGGACATACCACCATGCCCAGCTAATTTTTGTAGAGCTGGAGTCCCGCCATGTTTCCCAGGCTGCTCTCAAACTCCCGAGCTCAAATGATCAGCTGCCTCAGCCTCCCAAAGTGCTGGGATTACAGGCGTGAGCCACTGCACCCAGCGTTATTACTTCTTTAATGTGAATTATTCCACGTGTAGAAACGGAAAGAAAAAAAAAAAAGAGAACTTGTCTAGGATAAAAATACATAACCTCAGGAGTAAAATCTGTCTTTTTATATTCAGTTGTTAAAATGAATGTTTATTCACAGATCCTGTAATGATGTCTTTCTTGTAATGGGTATTACAAGATATATGAAATTACCATATTTTTTTTTTCCTTATTGTAGGTATTTGAAGAAAGAAGAGCCCTGCTTGGAAAATGGGTAAACATTTAAAATACACTATTTTTGCATTATGTTATGTTTTCTGTTTTCATCTTTCAGGCTGCTATTAAAAAATTAGGCTGGGCTGGGCGTGGTGGCGTATGCCTATAGGCCCAACACTTTGGGAGGCCAAGGCGGGCGGATCACAAGGTCAAGAGATCAAGACTATCCAAGCCAACATGGTGAAACCCCATCTCTACTAAAAATAGAAAAATTAGCTGGGCGTGGCAGCACGCGCCCGTAGTCCCAGCTACTTGGGAGGCTGAGGCAGGAGAATTGCTTGGACCCAGGAGGCAGAGGTTGCAGTGAGCCAAGATTGCACCACTGCACAGCAGCCTGGTGACAGAGTGAGACTCCATCTCAAAAAAAAAAAAAAAAAAATCAAACTGGGTAGCTTATAAATAACAGACATTTTTTACTCAACTTAGATGGAAGGAAAAAAAACCCAGACATTTATTTTTCACGGTTCCCGAGGCTTAGGAAGCTCAAGATCAAGGTGCTGGCAGATTCAGTGTCTGCTGAGGCCTCTCTTCATAGACAGCCACCTCCTCACTGTGGCCTCACATGGCAGAAGAGGGGGAATGAGTTATCTGAGGTCTCCTTTATAAGGATGATACATGACCTAATCGCTTTGCAAAGGCCCACCTCCTAATCCCATCACACTGGGGGTTGAGATTTCAACATGAATTTGGGGGTGACATAAACATTCAGTTTGTAGCATTACCACAGAGCCCCGAGAATTCAGCTTGGATTTAAAGGAGGGCTTCCTCATTTCCTGAGAAGCATGACAGGGGCTTTCTGTAGTTATCAGTTAGGATTTGGTCAGGAAAACAGAAATCATATCTTAATTTAACAGACATAAGTAAATGAAAAGTATTGGTTAAGCAAATACTGAAGAACAGAAGAGACAAGGGAATGATGAGGTTCCAGGGAGATTGAACTGTGGGAATTAGCTACCACCAGCTTTCCTTGTTACTAAGGAGCTCAGAGGGAAGACCTTCAGCTCTATAGGGAACCCAGATTTCCATGGAATAAAGTAGATGACATCATAGCCAGCTGGTTCTGATACAGCTGATGAAGCATGGTTCTGGGTTTATGAAAAAGAAAAGCTGGACCTTGGAATTAATGGCCACTATCAGGGTGAAGAGTTAGGTGAGCCTGACTGGAACAGCAGCCAAATAGGAGTAAGTTTCTCCTCCCTCAGTTTCCCTCTAGCACCTTCCTCCTCATTGGCAGCATTTATCACGGAGCCAGCTGTCAAAGGAGAAATATGGTGATAGAGATCCTTTTTTTTTTAATTTTGGAGACAGAGTTTCACTCTTGTTTCCCAGACTGGAGTGCAATGGTGTGATTTCCCAACACTCCAACCTCCTCCACCTCCCAGGTTCAAGCGACTCTCTCCTCAGTCTCCTGAGTAGCTGGGATTACAGGTGCCCACCACCATGCCCAACTAATTTGTTGTATTTTTAGTAGAGACAGGGTTTCACCATGTTGGCCAGGCTGCTCTCGGACTCTTGACCTCAGGTGATCCACCCCCCTCAACCTCCCAAAGTGCTGGGATTATAGGTGTGAGCCACTGTGCCTGGCCCAAGGGATTCTGCCTTCTATGCTCACAAAGTAGAGCATAGAAAGGTGGATTTGGGCCAGGTGCAATGGCTCACAGCTGTAATTCCAGTACTTTGGGAGGCTGAGGCAGGATGAGAGCTTAAGGCCAGGAACTTGAGACTAGCCTGGGCAACATAGCAAGATCTCATCTCTACAAAAATAATAATTAAAAAAATTAGCCAGGTGTGGTGGTGCATGCCTATAGTCCCAGCTTCTTGGGATGTGTGAGGCAGGAGGATTGCTTGAGCCCATAGGTTCAAGGCTGTAGGGAGCTGTGGCACTGTGTGCCCCAGCCTAGGCAAGACCATGTCTCAAAACAAATAAACCCCGAAATAGAAAGATGAGTTTGGATCTGCGGGACGATAGCTCAGTAACAGCACAGTTCACCTATTTGGCTACTCAACATTCGTATATACCCTTATATAGATCCTGAAACTTTCATACCAGAACTGTAACAACATTGTGTTTTTACTTAACAAGATACAACTATCCTTCATCAAAAACCAGGACTTTCTCATCTGTTCCTCAAAAGGAGGGACACAAAGTCTCAATGGCCATCCCTGGGTGATGATCAAAATATCCATCTCTGGACATTTTTTTTTTTTTAGATTCTCTCTTTTCTTCAAGAGAATAATCTATGAAGGCAGGGCTGGCTTCTATCCTGTTTTTTCATTGTTTATTACTTGATGCTTATCAGGCATTAACAGATATTTTCTAAATCAGTAAACAATGCTGTCTTGTTTTTCTCCTTTGCCTAAACAAACTTACTCCTTAAAATCATGATGTCATATGGTAGCCCATGTACCCCTTCAAAACCCAAATGAACTGGGCTTAAGGGAGATATTACAAATTTATCCTTATTTACATTTGTGTCTCCATTTTAATTTGTAGATTTTTTTGTTTGTTTGTGTGTTTCATGGACAAGAAAGTAACATAAGAAATGCAAGAAAGAAAGAAAGAGAGAAAGACAGAAAGAGGAAGGGGAGGGGAGGGGAGGGAAGAAGGGAGAAATAGAGATACCAGTGTTTTTACTTAGCATTACTTGGGATTTTCACTGTAGGCATCAAGTACTGTCTTAGCTTTAAAGTTTAATCTAGTATTAGAAGTAAAGTTATTTTTAAAAAAAGAATCTAGACAGTGAGAGATAAAATGTAATGTGAACTGTTCAATGATAGACAGTCTGGAAGTATTTTTGTATTTGGCCATAGAATTTGGCAGTTTTGTTCATTTATTTGCACATGGTTCTGTCTAATGTTCCATACAACACAAAATAATTAAGAGAAATAAAAAAGCTCTTCTACTTTGCTGTTTCATGCTACTACTTAATCCCTTTTCTTTTCAGTCTTTTCTGCCCTTCAATCCCAAGGCAACTGCAGCCAGGTGCGGTGGCTCACGCCTGTAATCCCAGCACTTTGGGAGGCCAAGGCAGGTGGATCACCTGAGGTCAGGAGTTTGAGACCAGCCTGGCCAACGTGGTGAAATTCTTTCTGTACTAAAAATACTACAGTTAGCTGGGCGTGGTAGTGCACCTGTAATCCCAGCTACTCGGGAGTCTAAGGCAAGAGAATCGCTTGAACCTGGGAGTTGGAGGTTGCAGTGAGACTAGACTGTGCCATTGCACTCCAGCCTGGGTAATGAGAGATAAACTCCATCTCAAAAATAAATAAATAAATAAATAAAAGGCGATTGCCTCCCAAACAGAGAGAAAACACCACGGGAGAAGTAAAAAGAGAAAGTATCTTAGATTTTTCTCTCCACTTCTGCTCTGTTGCTAATAAAAATAATAGTAATATAATAACACATTTTAATAAGGTAGATGGCATCACTTTTAACTTGCTGGAAACAGCCATAATCAGAGTTAGAATTCAAAAGAGAAACAAGGAAAACTATTTTGCAAATTGCATGATAGAAAAATGATCACTATCTAGGATATATAAAGAATTCCTACAAGTCCGTAAGAAAAATACAAATATCCCTGCAGAATAATGGGCCAATATAAGAATGAGGAATATTTTTAAAATGAAAAATAAGCATATACAATATGCTCAGTTTCACCAAAATCAGAGAAATGCAAATGAAAACTGAAATTCTCAAGCCTCACTCCCCTCTCTTCCTTGCCTATATGGCAAAAATGGAAGAGCCGGATAATATCCCCTGTAAGGAAGGATTCACTGGGAAGCAGGAAGATACTTTTAAAGTCACTTGGAAGGAATGTAAAATGGCAAAGACCTTTTAAAGATAATTTGACATAATCTATTTTTTTTTTTTTTTTTTGAGACGGAGTTTTGCTCTTGTTACCCAGGCCGGAGTGCAATGGCACGATCTCGGCTCACCGCAACCTCCGCCTCCTGGGTTCAGGCAATTCTCCTGCTTCAGCCTCCTGAGTAGCTGGGATTACAGGCACACGCCACCATGCCCAGCTAATTTTTTGTATTTTTAGTAGAGACGGAGTTTCACCATGTTGACCAGGATGGTCTTGATCTCTTGACCTCGTGATCCACCCACCTTGGCCTCCCAAAGTGCTGGGATTACAGGCTTGAGTCACTGCGCCCGGCCTTGACATAATCTATTAAAATTTTAAATGCATAGACCCTTTGAGCCTCTATTTATATATACTAGGGAAATATTCATTCAGAACATGAAAAAACATGAAAAAGCATGTGCCAAGATATTGCTTCTCTTTCTTTTGTTTCTTTCTTCCTATTGGAAAGGTATCAGTAGTAATGGTATCTGGAGTAAATTGAGTAAATAGAAAACACGATATTCATCCTACCGTGACTGAATGAAAGACGGTATGCTCTGAAGTTCCTTCCATATCAGGACATGTGTGGCTACATTTGGTTTATTTTTTAAACTGCTACATAGTATTCCCTGGGATGAGTATACTCTAATTTATTTCACTGCTTCCAAATTGATGGAGATGTGTCTGTGTGAATGTATAGAAATGCATGAACGTCTCCCAGGCATGGCAGTGCTTACCTTGAGTCCCAGCTAATTCAGAGAATAAAGCAGGAGAATTGCTTGAGACCAGAAGCTTGAAGCTATTGTGCGTGATGATCATGCTTGTGAATAGCTATTGCACTCCAGCCTGGGCAACATAGCAAGACCTTGTCTCTAAAAACAATTATTTTTTATTTGAGAAAAAGGAAATGCATGAACATCAAACTTTTCTGAACGATAGTTATCTCTGGGAGACGAAGTGAGATTTGATGGGGAGCAGTTGTTAAAGAAGCTTTTCATTTTTTCTTCCATTGGTGCCTGTTTGAAACTTCTTTTTTTGGAGACAGAGTAGCCAAGAGTTGAGTGCAGTGGTGTGATCTTGGTTCACTGCAACTTCCATCTCCTGGGCTCACTCAACTTCATCACCTCAGCTTCCTAAGTTCTGGGACTACAGGCATACGCCAGCATGCCCAGCTTTTTTTTAAAGACAGGGTCTCGCTATGTTGCCCAGGCTAGTCTTGGTCTTGAACTGCTGGGCTCAGGCAGCCCTTCCGGCTTGGCTTCCCAAAGTGCTAGGACTACAGGTGTGAGCCACCTCGCCCAGCCCTGTTTGAAACTTTTAAGACAAAAACATATTTACACTTCGTGAAATTAAATTTTTGATAATAGGACTCAGAAACTCAACCAGAAGAGATCATATAACCAATAAGCTGACAGAAGCAAGCCTCCCTCTATATCCCCCTCCCACCCACTTTTTGCCATTCAATGTGAGGTGGGTGGAACCTTCTCACTTCCAGAAACAGCAGCAAGAATCCTTGTAACAGCTACTCTAAAAATAGGATGGGCACAGTTATATTGAGTCAAGAAAGCCTTATAAAAAGACATCCATCAGGAATGAATCGTGAGGCAAGGTACCATACGCAGTGCTAGAATAGGAGAATAATGGTCCTGACTGTCCCCCAATCTCATACATGAGGTCCCTGGCTACTAGGTTAGGGGTATTTTTGCTTGAGAGGTGACGCAAGAGCTGTGGGAGATAATTGAATTTCTATACAGTTAACTCTTCCATGGATTATCTACTTTTTGGATTATTTCTAGCACCTTCCAAATCCTAAAGGGATTTCCCCCTACCTTTCAGCATTCTTCTGAGTCATCTCCCAATCGTCTTCAGTTGGTAGGAGTTCAAGGAATGTAAGTTAGTTTTCTATTAGCCTAAACAAACACAATTAGAAAGGAAAATCCCTTGAGGCAAAGTACACCTATCAAAGCCAAACAAATTACCTCTGACCATTGTAATCAGGGAAATAAATGAGGAACCAATGTAATTATCTTTTTAATCTCTAGAGACAGTGTTTTAACGTTTTCTTTTATAGATTTCTTCAGTATTTTATAATCCTAATGTTCTTTTATATTCATCTTAAATTACACATCCTGCAGCCTGAGCCGGTTCTCTTTGCGGGCAGCGGGAAAGTAGTGAGCTAACCTCATTTATTCTAAATGCACTTTCCATCCTTGTCAATGTACAAACATGGTAATTTTATGCGCATATCTTTTTTTGTAGTGACTTATCCCACATACATATTATTTTTAACATCACTATGGCGTTTTCTAATAGCAGCTGCTGTGTCTACAATGAGTCATGCACTCTATTAGGAATTTTATTCATGTATTATTCTACTTAATCCTCTCAAACCACCCTACAATGTAGATGTAATTGTTTTTCATGTGTAAATGAGGAAATCGAGGCTGACATATTTCTGATGAGTAAAAGAACTCATAGAATATGGGGAGTGAGACACCAAATCGTCTTATTCCAAAACCACCGTCAACCCATAATGTCCTGCTTTCCCCTATCATGTGGATATATTATGGTTTAGCTGATGCCCTACTGTTAGACATTTTGAGTTATCTCTGATTTTGTGGCAGTCATAATATCTTATGAAAATTTTTTTGTAACCTTATTCATCCTGGGTCTCATGTAGCTCAGCCCCACCAGATTCACCTAGCACTGCCCAAACGTAATTTTAGAATGAATTCCAGGCCGATGTGGTGGCACATGCCTGTAGTCCCAGCTACTCAGGAGGCTGAGGTGGGAGGATCCCCTGGGGTCAGGAGATTGAGGCTGTAGTGAGCTAGGATTGCACCACTGTACTCCAACCTAGGTGACAGGACAAGACCCTTTCTCTAAAAAAACAAAATGAAATAAAAAATACATAAAACGAATTTCAATCCAAAGAAAAATCTCAAGAGATCCAGTTCAGAACTCCTAGCCATACTCCTCCCATCTTCCTCCTCTCCCCAGTTCTCCCACACTGACTGCTGCAGAGGCTACCATCGCCTCTGGGAGCCCCTCGAGTCCCGTCAGGGCAACCTTCCAGCTGTTGTTCCTCTCTCTCCTCTCACTTTCCTTTTGACTATTTTATTGATCAATTCAGCTTCTAGGCCCAGTTTCCCTGGCCTTAGCCATTCTGGCCTGGTTTCTTTCTCCTCATTCTCCTAAGAAACCCCTCCGAAAGAGCTGGGAAAGAAGTCTGCTTTTATGGGGGTTGGAGATATGGCTTGTGTAGAAATAGGGCAAGGAGAAGTCAGGGAACACTCACACATGAGTCAGTTTTATTCCTGTGGTCTTTACAGTTAAAGTTTTGTTTTTGTTTTTGATTTCATTTTAGAGTCCTCCTCCTTCCCACTGGAATGACAGTCTTTAAAGTGAGATTTGTGGATCATTGAATAAATCTATAAAAATGGATAGTTTTAATTAGGAAATATTGGTACTGTTAAATTTTTTTTTTTAGAAGGAGGTTTTGCTCTTGTTGCCCAGGCTGGAGTGCAATGGTGCGATCTTGGTTCACTGCAACCTCCACCTCCTGGGTTCAAGCAATTCTCCTGCCTCAGCCTCCCAAGTAACTGGGATTATAGGTGTGTATCACCACACCTGGCTAATTTTTTATTTTTAGTAGAGATGGGGTTTTGCCATGTTGGTCAGGCTGGTCTCGAACTCCTGACCTCAGGTGATCCACTGCCTCGGGCTCCCAAAGTGCTGTGATTACAGGTGTGAGCCACAGTGCCTCTACTGTAAAAATGTATGGAGAGCCATTGTTTTGGACTGAGCTCCTATACCAGGCCCCAACAGACCAAACCAAACCAGAATAGAGGCACTCCGACATAATCAAATGGAACTTTAAAAAGGGCCAATTTAAATTAAAAATGAAAAACAGAACCCAAAACCCCCTAAACAGGAGATTCAGAGCAACCAATCAGAAGGGCCCAGCTTATCTGAGCCGGCATTACAAAGTTCCCTCTCTTTTAATCTTATAAGGAAAATAATTCTGAAACAACCAATTATCTGCCTTTTGTTCCTTATTTCTCCTTTTTTTTTTTTTTTTTTCTTGAAGCAGGGTCTCTCTCTGTTGGCCAGGCTGCAGTGCAATGGCGTGACCACTGCACACGGGCTCAAATAGTTCTCCCACCTCAGCCTCCCAAGTAGCTGGGACCACAAGCATACACCACCATGCCTAGCTAACTTTTAATTTTTTTGTACAGATGGCATGTTGCTCAGGCTGGTTTTGAATTTCGGGGCTCAAGGGATTCTCCTGCCTCTGTCTCCCAAAGTGCTGAGGTTACAGGCATGAGCCATCACACCGGGACTTTTTCTGCTTTCTTCAATCCTTTTCTGCCCCTGAAGCCAACCAACCTCCTCTGCTCAGCTCTTATCTGTTCTTCAGGAATCGCTAATAAAAGCCAATTAGATCTTTAAACTCAATTTGTTGGAATTTTGTTTTTTAACAGTACTAATTTAAAAAATATCAGATTTACCCTTGAGAAGCCAAAAAGAAAAAAACCATCAAACAAAATTTACAAATATATTGTATAACTGTAATGGAATTAACTTGTTTTAAGGCTTGCACAAAATAAATTTTTGCTTTAAATGCCTTTTTAGGTAGTCAGTGTATTTTATGATTACAGCTAAAAGTCATTATAAAATTCTGTTTATAGCCAGGTGTGGTGGCTCACGCCTGTCATCCTAGCACTTTGGGAGGCCAAGAAAGGCAGATCACAAGGTCAGGAGTTCAAGACCAGCCTGGCCAACATGACAAAACCCTGTCTCTACTAAAAACATGAAAATTAGCTGGGCACGATGGTGCTCGCCTGTAATTCCACCTACTGAGGCAGGAGAATTGCTTGAACCAGGAGGCGGAGGTTGTAGTGAGCTGAGATCACACCACTGCACTCTAGCCTGGGTGACAGAGCTAAAAAAAAATTCTGTTTCTAATAACTGTAGTGAGTATCTGTGTGTGAAATTCAGTCATATACAAAAATACAACCAGCTCAAACTTCCCTATTTTCTCTTCCCCAATGGGCCAGGGAGGAAAAGAGAGATGTAGACTTCCAGTAAAGTGGCTCACTGAGCCGGCAGGTGTTCTACCCTTCCTTTCTTTTGGTTTTGGCCAGTCCCAAGCTGCTCGTCCTTGGTCATTCCCTGATTTGGGGTGTTGTTCAGGGGAATCTCTGAGGAAAATTGTGAAGTCGCCAATTGTTGCACTCACTTCCTCTCTTCAAGTCCTGCTTATCAGCACATCTTCTCCCATCATGTCAGTTGTTTACACACTAGTGAGAATTTACCCTGATATATTTTCCTTCTGAGGGATATTTGCATGTGATACTTTATCCGATTGTGAATACAAGGGTTTGTTTCAGGTCCTGCTATTTTAAGCACTGATGGGATAATGTAGAGACTATTTGTGAGGGGAGGAGCTGTGTGTTGTTTTTTTTGGAATTGTCTTTTATAAGCAGATATATTCTTAGTTTATGAATATGGCCATCTCCCAATTTACTGTTCATAGGTGACTGCAAGGTTTTTGTTTGTTTGTTTGTTTTTTTTACACAGAGTCTCGCTCTGTCACCCAGGCTAAAGAGCAGTGGCATGATCTCCGCTCACTGCAGCCTCCACCTCCCAGGTTCAAGCAATTCTCGTGCCTCAACCTCCTGAGTAGGTGGGATTACAGGCGTCTGCCACTATATCCAGCTAATTTTTGCATCTTTAGAGACTGGGTTTCACCGTGTTGCTCAGGCTGGTCTCAAACTCCTGACCCAAGTGATCCACCCGCCTCAGCCTCCCAAAGTGCTGGGATTACAGGCGTGAGCCACTGTGCCCGGCCAGTGACTGCAAGTTTTGAGGTCACACGCACTTCTGTGTGCACACTTAGGTCATGCACATGCTCCCATATACATGTGAGAGAAGACAGGAGGATGGCAAAGCATGGAGTTTGCTGATGAGGGAAATAAATACTTGATTTGCACTAGCAATAAACTACTAAACTCCCTTTGTATACCCTTCTCATCTCTCACTCGTAATGAATCTGCTATCAGACTAAACCTGGAGCTTTTTACATTTTGTTTGGTTTTGTGTTTTCAGTTTGACAAGTGGACAGACTCTCAAAGAAGAAGAATCCTCACGGGCCTGTTGGAGCGCTGCTCGCTGTCCCAGCAAAAGTTCTGCTGTCGAAAGCTTCAGGAGAAAATTCCAGCAGAAGCCCTGGACTTTACGACCAAGCTTCCAAGGGTGTTATCTTTATACATCTTTTCTTTCCTGGACCCCCGAAGCCTTTGTCGTTGTGCACAGGTAAAGGCAAGGAAGGGGCATGTGGTGTTTTGTGAGGACAGCCTTAGGAAACTTGAAACTCGAAGAAGTTAAAGGGAATCACACACATACACACACAAACACAACACATACATGCATACATACGAACACACACAAATACGCATACATACGAACACACTCAAATACACATACACAAACACACATATACACATACACACGAACACACACATATATACATACACATATATACACGTGTATGTATATATGTGTATATATAAAAATATACACAAGCACACAAACATACACACATATATACATCTACACACATATAAACATACACAAAAACACACGCATGCACACACATATACACATCTACACACGCAAACATACACATATACACATACATACGCACAAATACACATAACATACACAGACACACATAAACAGAGAAACATACATACACATATACAAATACACACAAACACACAAATACAAACACACACGTACACACACAAAACTAAGAAAGAGATGAGATGATTAGTATCTTCGTACAGTTTGAATGAACCTCCATCATTTTGTGTCCAACTCTATTTAGAACTCAAATGGGGAAAAAAAGTATAAGCCACATTAGTGTCCAACAATGAAGTATTAGCTGGCTGGGAGAGACATACACACGTAAGAAATGGTTCCTCAGCAGGACGGACTTATACTGCCCGGCATTCAGCTGCAATAAGGTCCTTAACTGTAGAGCTCAGATCATTCATGAGTAAAAAAACTCCAAATAAGTGCCTAATGAAACAAAAAAAGAAAAAAGAAATTAAAAAAAAATCGGTGCCTAATGAGATATGTACAGAAGATAATGAGACTAACAGAGATCTGAGTGGACAGGTGTGCTCGCAGAGGCCTTAGAAAAGTAGCTGGTGGTTTTTATTTTTTTCTTTTACAAGTAATTCCATTCTGTATTAAAGTGAAGTTGAATTATTTAAGATATAAAACTGGCAGTCATTCTTGCAAGTCTTTTCATAGAGTCTGGCAAGACCAGAGATTACCTGCCAGTGTGCATTCATATAGGTGTGACATGTTAACTTTAATGTTTTAAATGAAGAAAATGAATGCAGAAGGAAAGATAGGTCTGGGTGTGGTGGCTCACACCTGTAATCCCAGCACTTTGGGAGACCGAGGTGGGAGGATTGCCTGAGCCTAGAAGTTCAAGGGTAGCCTGGGCAACATAGGGAGACCTTGTCTTTACAAAAAAAATGTTAAAATTAGATGGTGTGGTGATGTGTGCCTGTGGTCCCAGCTACTTGGGAGGCTGAAGTGGGAGGATTACTTGAACCCAGAAGGTCGAGGCTTCAGTGAGCTGTGACTGTGCCACTGCACTACAGCTTAGGCAACAGAGTGAGACTCTGCCTCAGAAAAAATGTATTATTCAATAAATGGTATAGGGATAACTGAGCAACTCTCTGGAAAAAAATTTCATCAGGATAAAAGACAGATGAAACCAAAGGAAACCATTAAAGACCTCAAAGAAAACAGGAAGGGAAGCCTTTGTGAATATTCCATGATATCCCGAAGGCTTAAAAGAAAATACGCAATTTAAAATCTTGCTTGCTTTATTTTATGTATTATGAGCAAGAATGAAGAAAACAGATTTTGAAATTGTGACTATAAAAATTAAAATATTCTTCATGGAACAGAACACCATAAATAAATCCAAATAGTAAGCAGGGAAAAAAATTATTGCCAGCAAAGGGCTAATTTATTTATTTTTTAAGGAGCTCTTATAAATCTATATTAAGAAAGAAAAAAAAGACCAACCACCCAGCAGAAAAATGAGCAAAGGAAATGAACAAGTAATCTACAGAAAAAGAAAGGCAGATGTCTCTAAAAACTGTAAGATGCTTAGCCTCATTATGGCATGCCATCTTTCATGACTCAGATTGAGATTTGTTTTAAATGAGAATATTCTATATTGGTGAGGGTGTGAGGAAACAAGAACTTTCATATATTGCTGATAGAGAAATTGATGTAACCACCATGGAGAACCACTGGGTAGTGTTAAAATTTCAAATAAAAATTCCCTTTGCCCCAGCAGTTCCAATGCTTGGAATTTGTCTATGGGTGTCCTGCAACATGGTAAAAGCCATACCTGTGTAAGAATATTGCAGCATTGTCTGTCCTAGCAACAGGTTGGAAACAAAGAAAATGTCTACCAGGAGACACTGAGTAAATCAGTTGCGACTATCTTCAAATAAGTCATCGGTTAAAAAAGAAAAGTAGAAGCATAGAACTGTCCTATCATTGTGAAAAGAAAAAAAGGCCAGGCATAGTGGCTTGCCTGTAATACAGCCAGGCACAGTGGCTTGCCTGTAATCCTAGCACTCTGAGAGGCCAAGGCAGGCAGATCACTTGAGGCCAAGAATTTGAGACTAGCCTGGGCATTATTGTGAGACCCCCATATCTACAAAAAATAGCCAGGTGTGGTGGCACATGCCCATAGTCCCAACTACTCGGGAGGCTGAGGTGGGAGGATTGCTGGAGCCCACAAGGTTAAAGCTGCAGCGAGCCAAGATTGCAGCACAGCACCCTAGCCTGGGCAACACAGCAAGACCCTGTCTCTACAGAAAGTTAATAATTAGCCAGGTTGGACAGGCGTGAAGGTGGCTCACACCTGTAATCCTGGCATTTTAGGAGGCAGAGGTAGGCGGATCGCTTGAGGTCAGGAGTTTGAGACGAGCCTGGCAAATATGTTGGCAAAACTCATTTCTATTATATTTTACAAAAATTAGCCCAGCGTGGTGATGTGCATCTGTAGTCCAAGCTACTTGGGGGGCTGAGGCAGGAGGGTTGCTTGAATATGGAAGATCGAGGCTGCAGTGAGCCGAGATCATGCCACTGCACTCTAGCCTGGGTGACAAAGTGAGATCCTATCTCAAAAAAAAAAAAAAAAAAAAAAAAATTAGCCAGGTATGGTGGTATGCAGCACCCAGAGTCCCTGCTACTTGAGAGGCTAAGGCAGGAGGATTGCTTGAACCCAGGAGGTTGAAGGCTGCGGTAAGCTATGATTGTGCTTCTGCACTTCAGCCTGAGCAACAAACAGGGTGAGAAACAAAATTATATATATATATATATATATATACACACACACACACACACATATATATATGCATATTTGTTACTATATGCCTGGAATATTTCTGGAATGATATACCTGACTGGTAAGAGTTAAGAGTAGTCTCATCCAAGGAGAAGAATGGGGGTCTGGAGTTAGTGATAGGAGAAAGACTTTCTTTGTTTCTTTGAATTTGGTATTAATATGTACATATCTATTCCAAAAATGAATCCTTTTTTGAGACAGATTCTTGCTCTGTTACCCAGGCTGGAGTTCAGTGGCACAATCTTGGCTCACCGCAACCTCCGCCTCCTGGGTTCGAGCGATTCTTGTGCCTCAGCCTCAAGTAGCTGGGATTACAGGCATGTGCCACCACGCCTGGCTAATTTTTGTATTTTTAGTAGAGACGGGGTTTCATCATGTTGGCCAGGCTGGTCTCAAACTCCTGACCTCAAGTGATCTGCCCACCTCGGCCTCCCAGAGTGCTGGGATTATAGGCATGAGCCCCCACGCCCTGCTTCAAATGATTTTTTAAAAGAGCATAGCAATCTGGATGTCAGGTAATAACAGGGTATCATACAGCCATATATGATGCCTTATTATGCTACCATTAGTAAACATGTTTTGGAAGAAGAGAGATGCTATGATATTTAACATGAAGAAAGATTTTTAAGTTGTATATAGTGTTTCCCAATTTTCTTTTATATATACTTCAAATAACGACTGAAAGGGAAAGAACTCTACCAGGTTATCAATAATAATCATCTCTGATCAATGGGGCTATGGGTTAAACTTCTCAGAATTTTTCATTTTCCATAAGGATAATGTTATTATTAGAGGGAAATGTTATTTGAAATAGCTGATTCTATCATCTGTATGCACTATCAGTCATATTTGCTTCTTACTACTGACTGTGGGGAAGGCACAGACTATCATTCTTCAGCTAGATTTAAAGTAAACTTTATAAAGTCATTGCTGTTTTAAAAAGTTGGAAGGGACCGGGTGCAGTGTTGGCTCACGCCTGTAATCCCGACACTTTGGGATGCTGAGGTGGGCAGATCACAAAGTCAGGAGTTTGAGACCAACCTGGCTAATATGGTGAAACGCTGTCTCTACTACAAAAATTAGCCAGGGGTGGTGGTGCACACCTGTAGTCCCAGCTACTTGGGAGGCTGAGGCAGGAGAATTGCTTGAACCTGGGAGGCAGAGATTGCAGTGAGCCAAGATTGCGCCACTGCTCTCCAGCCTGGTGAAAGATGAAAGCTTGAAGAGGAATTGTGTCTTGTAGATATGAAAGCTCCTACTTACCTTTCAATTGTCTTCATTCTTCTCTACCTTTAAACAAACAAAGCCACAAAAGAAAATCTCTGTTTGTTTTGGAAAGGAAAACAACTTAAGTACTCAGGTCAAAACATGATCTAAATTCTCCCCCTTCTCTTTCCAAAACCTCCCTCTCTCCAGTGAACTCTGAGTAAATTTACAATATGGAGATGAAGGTTGGTATTGTTTCATTTCAGGGTCGAACAAACTAAATGTGATTTCTGTTGCTGTCTGCAGGGTTCTATCAAATCCTCTAAACTTTTTCCTCCTTCTCTAACCTTTCCTGAATCTATTATTTCTTCTAATTGTGCCTACTCCCTCCTCGACATCTCATCTTCTGCACATAAAACAATACTAAACATAGTAGGAACTCAGTAAAAGGTGGGTAGAAGGAGAAGGGCAGAGAGGGATAGAAAAATGGGTGTGTGGATAGTAAGGGCCCTTACAGAGTGTTCTCGTCTTGGGGGTAAGGAGGCATTCAAAAATTATTAATTATTTAATTAATCTTGAAAACGAGGCCAGTTTTCTAAGGGTGAAATTTAGGCTTGAAGGTTATATGTCATCTCTGCAACTCTTTCAATTAAGAGACTGAATCACTAGCCTCAGCTTTGTATGTAAACTTGATGCTAGTTTCTGTCAAGACTTATTCAAACTCTTCGGTAAGGTATTATAAATATTGCTACACATAGTAGGGCCACCTCCGCCATTTGCTGGTTGGATGAGATTGGCCATAATGTTATGGAACTGGTATGTACAGAATAAATGCTTTATGCTTTATAGAATCCTGAAGGCTCTATAAACCACGTAGTGTCAGTGATTATATTCCATTTATAAAATTTATATTTGGTGAAACAGAAAGAATGGAGATGATATGGTTTGGCTGTGTCCCCACACACATCTCATCTTGAATTGTAGCTCCCTTAATTCCCATGTGTTGTGAGAGGGACCCAGTGGGAGATAATTGAATCACAGGAGTGGTTTCTCCCATACTGTTCTCATGGTAGTGAATCACTCTCAGGAGATCTGATGGTTTTATAAAGGCTTTCCCCTTTTGCTTGGCTCTCATTCTCTCTTGCCTGCCGCCATGTGAGACATGCCTTTTGCCTTCCATCATGATTTTGAGGCCTCCGCACATGATTGAGAGGCCTCCCCAGCCACATGGAACTGTGAGTCCATTAAACTTCTTTTTCTTTGTAACTTACCCAGTCTCGGGTATATCTTTATCAGCAACGTGAAACTGGACTAATACAGGAGGGAAAAGGAAGCACACCATGAAAAGAATAAACAACATGCAGATGGGAATTTATATAATCCTTATATAACTTTTATATCACCTTTGGAAACCTTTAAAGAGTTCCAAAATCTATCTGAGCCTCAGTTTCCTCACTTGCAATATCAGAGTAATAATTATACTTACCTCCCTAGGTTGCTATGAAGATAGTTAATAGGTGCTCCGTAAATATTAATTGACTCTGATTCTAAGTCTGAATTAACATTTAAAGAAAATGCTAATTTACTTTAAATCTGCCAGGGTAGGAAACACTTCAGGTAGAAGCAACAATTTAAGCTATGGTTTGGAGGCAAAGGACAAAAAAGTTATCGCAGGTCCAGGATGACAGCTCAAAACCTAGAGAAAGTGGGCATGTTAACTGAGGAGGTTTTTGATTTGGTTTTATTTCATTGTAATTGTTGGTTTTGTTTGATTGTAATTATTTTTCCAGGTGTGTTGGCACTGGAAGAACCTAGCTGAGCTGGACCAGCTCTGGATGCTGAAATGTTTACGGTTCAACTGGTGCATCAATTTCTCTCCAACTCCCTTTGAGCAGGGGATCTGGAAGAAGCACTATATTCAAATGGTGAAAGAACTTCATGTTACCAAGCCTAAGGTGAATTTTAGACAAAAAGCCGCAAGCTTGCAAATATCAGCTCTTTGCACATTCTAGAACTAACAATAAAGAATCAAATTGGAAGTTTGGGAAGGGAGGTAGTTCAAAGGAAATATACTATGATTTCAGAATTCTCCTTTTCTGAGACTTGATGTCATTTTCAAGACACTGATGTTAGTTAAGAGCCTTCATTTGCCACTCCCAAACCACAGTTGCCTCCAGGCGATTAGGGCCGTAGAACTTCTTTCTCTGTCCAGGTCCCTGATTCCTGCGACATCAGACATTACTGACATGGGGACTCTATGGGTAATGCGAAGTATTTGTTACCTATGGGCCTTCAAGTTTTACTTTACTAATTCAAATTCTCTGTGATTCTACTGGGTGAGCTGAAGTTTATTTTTATATTGTTTATAAGGAAAAGTTTTCTAATAAATGAGTCATCAGGGAAGGGCCTCATGGGCATATTAGAATTCTTAGTTTCGGCGTGGCACAGTGGCTCACACCTGTAATCTCAGCACTTTGGGAGGCTGAGGCAGGCAGATCACCTGAGGACAGGAGTTTAAGACCAGGCTGACCAACATGGAGAAACCCCGTCTCTAATAAAAATACAAAAAAAATTATCCAGGCGTGGTGGAACAAGCCTGTAATCCCAGCTACTTGGAAGGCTGAGGCAGGAGAATCACTTGAACCCGCCCAGGAGGCGGAGGTTGTGCTGAGCCAAGATCATGCCATTGCACTCTATGCTGGGCAACAAGAGCCAAACTCTGTCTTACCAAAAAAAAAAAAAAGAATTCTTAGTTTTCGCTAGGAACTAAGCAATGTAGAACATTTACATATATTCACAAAAAGTAAGTAATGCAAGAATAATGTTTCTAGTGGCTTCCTATGCATTCTAACCAATGTTTATATTCACTCTGATAGTTTCCGGCTAATGAGATAATTTATGGGAAAATTTTATGAGCCCTTTGTTTATAGCATTCTCTATACACATGCAGATTTGTGCATCATTTTGTACAATAGATGAGTTCCTGAAAAATTATATGTAAATTAAAGTTTTAAAATGATTTTTAAAACCACAGGGGTATTAAAGCTTGTGAAAAATCTGCAATGAATCCTGTTAAAACTAGAGAGTCCTTTTGAAATATGAACAGTCAACTCCTAGCTTGCTGATTTCAGTTTAGGCTTTATTGCGTTTTCTGGAAATAGACTCCATCTATACTTAATACAGTAATAAACTATGCATAATTAATGTTGTTACAATTGCAATGATAAAGTCTTTTTTATTTTAGTAGTTGGTATGCTCCAAGAGGATTTCTTTTAAAAGGAGAGTTTTAAGTACAGATTTTTTAAAGTTCTTTTGAAAATTCCCGTAGCGCTGACTCCTTTCCTCGTGAGACTTCTCTTGCACCTCCTTCTCAGGGAGCAGGGAGTTGCCTTCAATAGCTGAAGCTCAGGCTGTTCAGGGCAGAGGGGAGAAAAGTGGTTAACCAACTAGTAGAATGAAAAGAAGTCGTGAGTTTTATATACATAACTGATTTTGGGGCCAGGCGCAGTGGTTTATGCCTGTAATCCCAGCACTTTGGGAGGCCAAGGTGGGAGGATTGCTTGAGGTCAGGAGTTTGAGACCAGCTTGGATAACATAGGGAGACCCTGTCTCTACAGAAAATTTAAAAATTAGCTGGGTGCAGTAGCACACTCCTGCAGTTACAGCGACTTAGGAGGCTGAGTTGGGAGGATCACTTGAGCTCAGGAGGTCGAGGCTGCAGTGAGCTGTGGTTGTGCCACACTCCAGCCTGGGTGACAGAGTGAGACTCTGACTCAAAAAAAAAAAAAAAAAAAACCCCTTTCCCCCCAAAAAACAAAACAAACACCCCACCCCCCCGATTTTAATGCTTTGTTTTCAGCGATAATTCTTTTCCACAAAGTATTTATATGTAACTATATTGTAAAATAATGAATGTTGTAGATTATGTGCAAGAAAATTTTCACTTCTTTGCTTGGTATTACATTTCTGCAGGGAATATGTTCTTCTATGAAAGTTGAATTTTATTCTGTTAAAGACAGACCTAAATCAGAAAGGTTAAGAAAGTCAACTAATAAACTTAAATCCATCAGTTAAAGAAAGAGCCCTGGCCAGGTGCGGTGGCTCATGCCTGGAATCCCAGCACTTTGGGAGGCCTAGGTGGGCAGATCACCTGAGGTGGGGAGTTTGAGACCAGCCTGACCAACATGGAGAAACCCCACCTCTACTAACAACACAAAATTAGCTGGACGTGGTGGCTCATGCCTGTAATCCCAGCTACTCCAGAGGCTGAGGCAGGAGAAACGCTTGAACCTGGGAGGCGGAGGTTGCAGTGAGCCAAGACTGCACCACTGCACTCCAGCCTGGGCAACAAGAGCAAAACTCTGTCTCAAAGAAAAAGAAAAAGACATAGCCCTAAGTCAGAAAGACTAAAGTTAATAGTCATCTGATGAAGGTTAATCAAGGCAACTGTCAGCACTACACATACTTGTATAATTCCCTGTGAAGTGGCTCCAGTGACACAATTTACCTTCCCTCAAGCAAAAGCACCATCCCTCTTTCCTGCCAGGACTTTGTACGGGCATGGGCTCCAGCAGAGATTGTGAAAGCACGTTATGAGCAGACGGGAGTGATTAATACTAGTTTCCCCAGCCTTAAAATGAGAGGGCTGGCTGGGCACAGAGGCTCACGCCTGTAATCCCAGCACTTTGGGAAGTTCAGTCAGGAGGACCACTTGAGCCCAGGAGTTCCAGACCAGTTTGGGCAATGTAGGGAGACACTGTCTCTATTTAAAAAAAAAATTTAAGTGAGAGAGCTGAATTAGAGTGATCTTTAAAACTGTCTGGAAGCCTATGCTACCTTTGCCAGAAACCATAATTTCAAAAAGACTTCCGACTAGAAAAAGAATAAATGAAATCCAAAGTAGATAGAAGGAAGAAATAAGGAACTGGAATCAAAGACATCGAAAACAAACAACACAGGAAAGAAATGAAACCAAAGGTGGTTCTTGGAAAACATAAATAGAATCTCTTTATTTGTAGCCAGGCTAAATAAGAAAAAGGAGAGAAAACACCAATTACTAACACCGTGAATGAAAGCAGGGGCATCGTTACAGATTCTTAGATGTTAAAAGGATTGAGAGAATATTGTAAACAGCTTCATGTTTCTGAATTCATCAACCTAGATGAAATAGACAAATGCCGAAAACTGACTCCATAAGTAATAGGAAGCATTAAAGAATCGATATTGATTTAAAATTGAGTTATTAATTTTTTCATTTTCAACAAAGCCCCAGACTCAGATAGCTTTTTTGGTAAATTCTCTCACACATTCAAGGAAGAAATAATACCAATTTTACATAACCTCTTTCAGAAAAGAGAGGAAGAGGGAACACTTCCCAACTCATTATCCTTATTCCAAAACCAAAGACTTCTCAAGGAAACAAAACTGCAGACAAATATCCCTCATGAATATAGACATAAAAATCTTTACTTGCAGGGAAAAGGCAATTTATCTTTTTTAAAGAATTTTTAAAAAAATTTTTAAATTATACTTTAAGTTCTGGAGTGCATGTACAGATCTTGCAGGATTGTTAAATAGGTATACACATGCCATGGTGGTTTGCTGCCTCCATCCCCCAATTACCTATGTTAGGTATTTCTCCCAATGTTATCCCTCCCCAATCTCCCCATCCCCCCGCTATCCCTTCCCTAGCTCCCTACACCCTAACAGACCCCAGTGTGTGATGTTCCCCTCCCTGTGTCCATGTGTTCTCATTGTTCAACACCCACTTATGAGTGAGAACATGCAGTGTTTGGTTTTCTGTTCTTGTGTCAGTTTGCTGAAAATGCTGGTTTCCAAATTCATCCATGTCCCTGCAAAGGACATTAACTCATCATTTTTTATGGCTGCATAGTATTCCATGGTGTATATGTGCCACATTTTCTTTATCCAGTCTATCATTGATGGGTATTTAGTTGGTTCCAGGTCTTTGCTATTGTAGACAGTGCCTCAATGAACATACATATTCATGTGTCTTTATAATAGAACAATTTATAATTCTTTGGGTATGTGCCCAATAATGGGATTGCTGGGCCAAATGGTGTTTCTAGATCCTTGAGGAATCACCACACTGTCTTCCACAATGGTTGAACTAATTTACACTCCCACCAACAGTGTAAAAGCATTCCTATTACTCTACAGCCTCTCCAGCATTTGTTGTCTCTAGATTTTTTAATCATGGCCATTCTAACTGGCATGAGATGGTATCTCAGTGTGGTTTTGATTTGCATTTCTGTAATGAACAGTGATGATGAGCATTTTTTCATATGTTTGCTGGCCACATAAACATTTTCTTTTGAAAAATGTCTGTTGATATCCTTCACTCACTTTTTTTTGATGGGTTTTTTTTTTTCTTGTAAATTTCTTTTAGTTCTTTGTAGATTCTGGATATTAGCCCTTTGTCGGATGGGTAACTTGGAAAAATTTTTTCCCATTCTATTGGTTGCCAGTTCACTCTAATGCTAGTTTCTTTCTGTGCAGCTCTTAAGTTTAATTAGATCCCATTTTTCTATTTTGGCTTTGTTGCCATTGCTTTTGGTGTTTTAGTCATGAAGTCCTTGCCTATGCCTATGTCCTGAATGGTACTGCCTATGTTTTCTTCTCAGGTTTTTATGGTGTTAGGTCTTAGGTTTAAATCTTTAATCCATCTAGAGTTAATTTTTGTATAAGGTGTAAGTAAGGAAGGGGTCCAGTTTCAGCTTTCTGCACATGGCTAGCCAGTTTTCCCAACACCATTTATTAAACAGGGAATCCTTTCCCCATTGCTTGTTTTTGTCAGGTTTGTCAAAGATCAGATGGCTGTAGATGTGTGGCATTATTTCCAAGGCCTCTGTTCTGTTCCGTTGGTCTAGATCTCTGTTTTCATTACTGTAGCCTTGTAGTATAGTTTGAAGTCAGGTAGTGTGATGCCTCCAGCTTTATTCTTTTTGCTAAGGATTGTCTTGGTTATGCAGGATCTTTTTTGGTTCCATATGAAGTTTAAGGTTTTTTTTTCTAGTTCTGTGAAGAAGGTCATTTATAAATTACTTTGGGCAACATGGCCATTTTCACAATATTGATTCTTCCTAACCACAAGCATGGAATGTTTCCCCATCTGTTTGTGTCCTCTCATTTCCTTGAGCAATGGTTTGTAGTTCTCCTTGAAGAGGTACCTCACATCCCTTGTTAGTTGTATTCTTAGGTATTTTATTCTCTTTGTAGCAATTGTGAATGGGAGTTTGCTCATGATTTAGCTCTCTGTTTGTTATTGGTATATAGGAATGCTTGTGATTTTTGCACATTAGTTTTGTATCCTGAGACTTTGCTGAAGTTGCTTATCATCTTAAGGAGATTTTGGGCTGAGATGATGGAGTTTTCTAAACATACAATCATGTCATCTGCAAATAGAGACAGTTTGACTTCCTCTTTTCCTAATTGAAAGCAATTTTCTTTATTTCTTTTTCTTGCCTGATTGCTCTGGCTAAAACTTCTAGTACTATGTTGAATAGGAATTATGAGAGAGGGCATCTTTGTCTAGTGCCAGTTTTCAAAGGGAATGCTTCCAGTTTTTCCCCATTCAGTATAATATTGGCTGTGGGTTTGTTGTAATAGCTTTTATTATTTTGAGATGCATTCCACTGATACCTAGTTTATTGAGAGTTTTTAGCATAAAGTCCTGTTGAATTTTGTTGAAGGCCTTTTCTGCATCGATTGAGATAATTGTGGTTTTTGTCTTTGGTTCTGTTTATGTTTATAGATTTGCATGTGTTGAACCAGCCTTGCATCCCTGGGATGAAGCCTACTTGATCATAATGGTTAAGCTTTTGATGGTTGCATAATGCATAATGGTTGCATTCAGTTTGCCAATATTTTATTGAAGATTTTTGCAGTGATGTTCATCATGGATATTGGCCTGAAATTTTCTTTTTCAGTCGTGTCTCTGCCAGGTTTTGGTATCAGGATGATGTTGGTCTCATACAATGAGTTAGGGAGGATTCCCTCTTTTTGTATTGTTTGGAATAGTTTCAGAAGGATTAGTACCAGCTCCTCTCTGTACATCTGGTAGAATTCAGCTGTGAACCTGTCTGGACCTGGACTTTTTTTGGTTGGTAGGCTATTAATTGCTACCTCAACTTCAGACCTTGTTATTGGTCTATTCAGGGATTCAACTTCTTCCTGGTTTGAAAAAAAAAAATCTTTAAAAAGTATTAACAAATTAAATCCAGTAATACGGCTGGGCGCGGTGGCTCACGCCTATAATCCCAGCACTTTGGGAGGCCGAGGCGGGTGGATCATGAGGTCAAGAGATTGAGAGCATCCTGATCAACGAGGTGAAACCCCATCTCTACTAAAAATACAAAAATTAGCTGGGCATGGTGCGTGCCTGTAATCCTAGCTACTCGGGAGGGTGAGGCAGGAGAATTGCTTGAACCCAGGAGGCAGAGGTTGCGGTGAGCTGAGATCGTACCATTGCACTCCAGTCTGGGTAAAAACAGTGAAACTCCGTCTCAAAAAAAAAAAAATCCAGTAATACATAAGAAGAATAATACACACTGGCCAAGTGGAATGCATCCAAGGAAAGTAAGGCTGGCATAACAGTCAAAAATCAGGCTGGGCGTGGTGTCTCACCCCTATAATCCTTGCACTTTGGGAGGCCAAGGCAGGCAGATCACTTGAGGTCAGGAGTTGAGATTAGCCTAGCCAACATGGTGAAACCCCGTCTCTACTAAAAATACAAAAATTAAGGCTGGTGCGGTGGCTCACACCTGCAATCTCAGCACTTTGGGAGGCTGAGGTGGGCAGATCACCTGAGGTTAGGAGTTCGAGACCAGCCTGGCCAACATGGTGAAACACCATCTCCATTAAAAATACAAAAATATTAGCCGAGCATGGTGGCACAAATCTGTGATTCCATCTGCTCAGGAGGCTGAGGCAGGAGAATCACTTGAACCAGGAGGCAGAGGTTACAGTCAGCCAAGATCGTACCACTGCACTCCAGCCTGTGTGACAAAACAAGACTCTGTCTCAAAAAAAAATAAAAAAAAAATTAGCTGGGCATGGTGTCACACACCTGCAGTCCCAGCTACTTAGGAGGCTAAGGCAGCAGAATCACTTCCCGGGAGGCAAAGGTTGCAATGAGCTGAGATTGAGCCACGGCACTCCATCCTGGGCGATAGATCAAGACTGTATATTTAAAAAGTCAATCAATGTAATTCATGAAATAAAAGAGAAAAAAGTGCATCTTTCAGTAGCACATACACTAAAATTGGAATGATGCATAGAAGATGTGAATTTACAAAGCATTTCATATTTTTTTAAAAAGAGAGAAAAGATATATGATCACTTCAATATATCCAAACAAAAGCATTTAACAAAATTCAACATCTATTCATGATTAGAAAGATTCTCAGAAAGACTTCAGGTGATGTGAACAAAAATGTTGTTTACTTAATACAAGTAAGTTACCACAGATTTCACTATTACCTGTTTTGTTAAAGTGTAACCATTTTGTACTGCACAGAATTAATGATTTTTAACATATAACTCCTAGCATTTATACCTAAAATTTCCCCCCGAAGTTATTTTTGATTATTATATATTATGTATATCTAGCAGTATTAAACTAGACCTCTTTTAGCAAAAACAGATGGATTTACTTCAATACAAGCTCAGGGAAATGAAATGTATGTCCATTGTATATGAGACTTGCATGAAATATTGAATACTAAACCAATAATGAGCTATCAATTATGTAAATATAAAATGTCTTCTTAATCTGCTTCTAGGTCATTCATTAAATGAATAAATTTCACTGTTTCCCATGCTGGAGTGCAGTGGCGAGATCTCAGCTCACTGGAAGCTCCGCCTCCAGGGTTCAAGTGATTCTCCTGCCTCAGGCTCCCAAGTAGCTGGGATTACAGGCATACACCACAATGCCAGATTAATTTTTTTTTTTATTTTTAGTAGAGACAGGGTTTTACCATGTTGGCCAGACTGATCTCAAACTCCTGACCTCACATGATCCATCCACCTGGGCCTCCCAAAGTGCTGGGATTACAGGTGTAATCCACCACACCCTGCCTGAATAAATATGTATGAAACGTTGTGAGCTAGGTGCCAAATGTAGAAGGATCCCATCCCTGCTTTCACGGAGCTTAGTCTAGTAGCCCAGGACAAACACACGTAAACAAATAATTACAACACTGAGTATTAAGCATTGTTCTGTAATAGAATTGTATACAAAGAGCAATTGAAACAAGGATGAGAAACTAATTATGCTTGGAGGAACTGGGGAAATTCTTGATTTTCAGCAACAATAGAAGTAAACTGATTTACCCAGCAAAGCCTCCCTAATCTCTTAATGAACAAAAATTAAGCCCTTAATGGTGTCTCTACATACCAATAGTACTGTCCTTAGGCTACAACCACATAAAAACGTTATGAATTTTACACGCAAAAGACAGGCTCCCAGTTTTGGAGATGACAGCAGAAGTATTCTTTGGGAGTGGTTGAGGTTTGATCATTGATAAATTTATAGTCTACTTCTCTAACAACTCAGTTGTTTCTGCGAGTTAAGAGATCATAAAAGCTGGATTACTTTTTCGGGAGAATGTGTACTTTTTATGAATAAATTAGCTGCAGTTGGGACAAACTAGATAATGGTATGGCAGAAGAGTAGATAGGGAGGTCTTATGTGTGGGCTTGAAGCAAGACAGTCCTGTATTCAACTTCTGGCTCTCCAACTTACTACTTTGTAGTAGTGGGCAAATTAATTAGTTTCTCCTTTATTCTGTTTCCTCTTCTGCAACATGGAAGTAGCAATGATTACCTTATAGAGTTATTGTGAAGTTAAACAATATAATGCATGAAAACTGCCTGAGACAGTGCCTGCAGCATGGCACCTCCTGGAGTGGTGGCTGCTATAATCATTCTCACCATGGTAATGGTGATGGTGATGATGATGATGATAGTGATGATATTCCTTTTGTTTTTATTCCTTCAGCCAACTCACATCAATATATTCATTGTTTTATTGTTGTTATTATTATTATAGTGGGTTTTTTTTTGTTGTTGTTGTTTGAGATGGAATCTCGCTCCTGGAGTGCAGTGGCACGATCTTGGCTCACTGCAACCTCTGCCTTCAGTGTTCAAGCGATTCTCCTGCCTCAGCCTCACAAATACCTGGGACTGCAGGCACCTGCCACCATGCCCAGCTAATTTTTGTACTTTTAGTAGAGACGGGGTTTCACCATGTTGACCAGGCTGGTCTCGAACTCCTGACCTCAAGTGATCTGCCCGCCTTGGCCTCCCAAAGTGCTAGGATTACAGGTGTGAGCTACCATACCTGGCATATTATTGTATTTTGGGAACATAATTAATTTTCTTCTTCTAGACACCTCCAAAAGATGGATTTGTAATTGCTGATGTTCAAGTAATTACAAGCAATTCTCCAGAGGAAAAGCAGTCCCCTTTGTCAGCTTCTCAGTCCTCTTCCTCTTTAAGAAAGAAGAATAACCCAGGGGAGAAAGCACTTCCACCATGGCGATCTTCTGATAAGCATCCAACTGATATCATCCGTTTTAATTACCTAGACAACTGTGACCCCATGGAGACCGTCTGGCAAGGGTAAGAAGCTCCATGCCCTTCTTAACTTCTTTGTTTTTAGAAATAATTTATTGGCATTTCAGTAAATGAAGGGATGAAAATAGAACTTACTCTGGAAGGCTAGATATGGTGGCTCATGCCTGTAATCCCAGCACTTTGGGAGGCTGAGGCAGGTGTATCACGAGGTCAAGAGGTTAAGATCATTCTGGCCAACGTGGTGAAACCCCATCTCTACTAAAATTACAAAAAATTAGCTGAGCATGGTGGCGCATGCCTGTAGTTCCAGCTACTCAGGCTGAGGCAGGAGAATTGCTTGAACCCGGGAGGCAGAGGTTGCATTGAGCCAAGATCGCACCATTGCACTCCAGCCTGGTCAACAAGAGTGAAACTCATCTCAAAAAAAGAACTTACTGTGAAATACAAAAACTTTTCAGTATGTAGGAGCAAAAAGTAATAGAACAGTATACATTATTAGCAGATTTGCTCTATTTGTTACAGTTTGCATTTTGTCATTAATGATTTAACATTGCTTCTTCTTTTTTTTTTGTGACGGAGTCTGGAGTCTCGCTCTCATGCTTGCCCAGTCTGGAATACAATGGCACACTCTTGGCTCACTGCAGCCTCTACCTCCTGGATTCAGGCAATTCTTCTGCCTCACCCTCCCAAGTAGCTGGGACTATAGGCACCCACCACCATCCCCAGATAATTTTTGTATTTTTAGTAGAGAAGGGGGTTTCACCATGTTGGCCAGGCTGGTTTCGAACTCTTGACCTGAGGTGATCCACCTGCCTCAGCATCCCAAAGTGCTGGGATTACAGGCGTCAGCCACTGTGCCCAGCCTCTTCTAATATTTTAATATTAAATTGCAATCTGGCACCAAAGGGTTTATTCTAGCCTTTATCCCTTTTGTATTTGTGACTCCCTTCTCTGATGGTAAGAAAGCTGGTACTCAATAGATTTACTGATTGTATTATATATGTGTGTGTGTAAATAATATATGAATATATTTATATTTACACACACACATATATAATACAACAATTAAATATATATCATATATTTACTTATAAATAAATTCTGAAAGTAAAGCTGGATGAGGTAGCATGTGTCTGTAATCCTAGCACTTTGGGAGGGCGAGGCAGGAGGATTGCTTGAGCCCAGAAGTTTGAGACCAGCCTGGGCATAGAAGCCCAGGCTGACCCTATGTTTTCCCTATCTCACACACACAAAAAAAAAGACAGAGAGAGACAGAGAGAAAGAGAAAGAAAGAAAACAAAGAAAAAATATTTTCGGTTCTTTGTCAAACACATCAGAAATCTCATTAGTATTTTTTTAAACCTAAAAGCATCCTGTCAGGAGCCAATAGGGCTCTAGCACAGTATCTTAAGCTGAAAGTAACTCTTCAGCCCACCCCAAAGATGCAGAATATGTGCAACAGCCTGGTCCCTGGGGTTTCCTGGTATAGCTCCTTTGTTGTTTATTAAATTATTGTACTGGGTCAGTGCTGGGATGGAAGTGCCTCTTTCTTGCTTAAATGTTTCCCTTAATAAAGGGGCTTTACCTTTTACTTCTACATGAATTAAGTTGCCCAGGCTGGTCTCTAACTTGACTCAAGCAATCCTCTCACCTCACCCTCCCAAAGGGCTGAAATTACAGGCATGAGCCACCGTGCCTGGCAAGTTGTTAGGTCTTTATAAATTTTGCTGCCTACTGCTGGCATGATGGACAATGCCAACCCAGTATGAACCAGCACACAGGTCCAAGAAAGGTTGAGGTACCACCCCATGGAGGTCGAATTTCAGAGGCAAATAATTGAGATCAGAGTCCAGGGAATGGAGCAAGCCAGAGACTGAGAAGGAGTCAGGTTGAAAAATCAAGAGATAGTGCAAAGATTAAACAAATTAAACGGAGCAACCCTGAAGCTCATTTCCCTGAGTAAAGCTGACACCCCATTCTCTCTTGATAGCATCTTTTAGGGCACAAAAGTTTTCGGTTTTGATGAAGTCCAATTTGTCTAAATTTTTGGTGTCATGTCCAAGAAATCATTGCTAAATCCAATGTCATGGCAATTTTCCTCTATATTTTCTTCTAAGAGTTTTGTGGTTTGAGTTTTGCAGTTTAGGTCTTTGATCCATTTTGAGTTAATTTTTACATATGGTATAAAGTTGGGGTCCAGCTTCATTGTTTTGCATGTAGCTATCCCATTTCCCCAGCACCATTGTTGAAAAGATTGTCCTTTGCCCCACCGAATAGTCTTGGCACCTTTGTTGAAAGTCAGTGGACCATATGGGTTTTCTTTCTGGGCTCCTTATTCTGTTCCACTGGTCTCTATGTTGCTCTTTACACCAGTATGACACTGCTTTGATTACTGTAGCTCTGTAATAAATTTTAAACCAGGAAGTAGGAGTTCCTCAGTTTTGATCTTTTGGGACATTTATGCAAATCATCCTTCTTTATTGGGCCAAGAGAGCTGAGGTGAGAGGTTGGAGTGGACACTCAAAAAGATCAGGCCAGGTGCGATAGCAAACACCTGTAATCTCAGAACTTTCAGTGGCTGAGGCAGAAGTATCACTTGAGTTTAGGAGTTTGAGCCCAGCTTGGGCAACACAGCAAGATCCTGTCTCTATAAAAATAAAATAAAATTAGCCAGATGTGGTGGTTCATGCCTGTAGTCCTAGCTACTCAGGAGGCTGAAGTGGGAAGATTGCTTGAGCCCAGGAAGTGAAGGCTGCAGTGAGCCATGGTTATGCCACTGTACTTCAGCCTGGGTGATGGAGCAAGACTCTGTCTCAGAAAAAAAAAGTCTACATATTTCATTTGATCTGTGTGTCACTTCAGCATTTTGTTTTGTCCATAATTTCCTGCTCTGTCCTTTTTTTCCCCTTGAAATTTGTTTGTTATAGATATCAGATCATTTATCCTGGAGAGCTTCTCACATTCTGGATTTTGTTGATTGTACCGCCCACATGCATCTCAACAGGTTCCTCTGTCCTTTGTACCTGGCTATACTGAGAGTCAGACCTAGAGGCTTATGTATATACTGAACAGGGGTATATACTTCCATCACAACACACGTCATTCTGGTTGTCTCTCTTTTTTCATGTTGGTAGCTATGGATACTCATCGCCTACATCCATTACATCAGACAAATTTTTCCCGTAAAGGGCAAAGCAGGAAATATTTTAGTCTTTGCAGAACATATGGTCTCTGTCACAGCTACTCAACTCTGCCATTGTGGCATAAATATAGTAATAGACCATGTGCAAGAAATAAGTATGACTATGTTCCAATAAAACTTTATTTACAAAAACAGGTAGCAGGCTGGCTTGAGCCTGTGGGCTGTGGTTGGTGGATCCTTGTTTTATCCTAATATATACAGGAATTTAGAAAAAAATGGTAATATTAAAGCAAGCGACATGATTACTGAAGACAGTTTGACTTCTGTGTCTGTATTTTCATCTCTCAGAGATATTTTATCAAGAATATTCAGACAAACTCCTGCATGAAACTCATGTGAAGTAACTCCTTTGTCTGTAGTAATGCCACCAGCTCAATAGATACGTATTTGTTTCAGTTTGCTTTTTAGATTTTAGGTATTTTTCACTTCATTTTATTCTATGATTTTGAGAAAAATTTAGATGGCTCCAAAATTAAATATACAAAATAAGGTATACTTGGAGAAATCTAACTTTTGGTCCCTGTTCCTCTATATTACCTGTTCTTTTTTTTTCTTTTTTTTTTTTTAAGTTAGGGTCTCACTCTGTCACCCAGGTTAGAGCACAGTGGCGCAGTCATGGCTCAGTGCAGCCTGGACCTCCAGGGCTCAAGCAGTCCTCCTACCTGAGTAGCTGGAACTACAGGCATGCACCACCATGCCCAGCTACATTTTTAAATTTTTTGTAGAGATAGGGTTTCACCACATTGCCCAGGTGGGTCTCAAACTCCTGGACTCAAGTTATCCTCCCCTCTCGACCTTCTGAAGAACTGGGGTTACGGGCGTGAGTCACTGCGCCCAGCTCATATTCCCTGTTTTTGATCAGTTCACATGGGAATCCTACTTATAGGTAACTGTTTTTCATTTTATGGTTTAAATCCTTCCATTTTATTTTATTATGATTATTTTTTGAGATGCAGTCTCACTCTATTGATCAGGCTGGAGTGCAGTGGCATGATCTCAGCTCACTGAAAGCTCCACTTCCTGCATTGGACCGATTCTCCTGCCTCAGCCTCCCAAGTAGCTGGGACTACAGGTGTGCACCACCATGCCTGGCTAATTTTTGTATTTTTAGTAGAGAAGGGGTTTCACCATGTTGGCCAGGCTGGTCTCAAACTCCTGACCTGAGGTGATCCACCTGCCTTGGCCTCCCAAAGTGCTGGGATTACAGGCCTGAGCCACCACACCTAGCCGTAATCCTTCCATTTTAAAAAGTAAAAGTGATTACATATGTACAATATATAGAGGCAGAGATCTTAATACCTCCTTCCTGAAATGAATGGCAGTGCACAGTACATACCATCTCATCCACCTTTCTTTCTTCATGTAACAGTATATCCTGGACATCCTTCCACAGCTGAATATAGAAACATCCTGCCGTCCTTTTGCAGCTCATAGTACTGCATTATGTTGTGGAGATGCCAGAGTTGATTCAACCAGTTCTCTATTGACATTTGGCTTGTTTCCAGTTAAGGGAAGACAATCTTTGAAATCACAAGAACAACAAAGTCAAACGGACAAATAGCTATGCAAACCACCCGAGTTTTAAAATGGTACTTTGTAATTTTCCTACTGCTTTCCAATTTACAGAAGAAGAAAGAGAAATGAAATGACACCAGATTTCAGCCGACAGTCACCTGATAAGAAAAATAAATTGCAGGACAGAACTAGGCTAAGAAAAGCACAATCAATGGTAAGTACTGCTTATGAAATATTCGTCACCATAACATTAATGAGAATCTCCAGATCTCTAATCCTGTTTGCTAAACTGAATTTGTTTATTTAATCAGAATCATCAAGTGCTGGTTTAAATTTGAGTTTCTGACACTGACTGACAGAGAAGCGATGACCTTGAAGATACCCTTTATTTAATATCTCTGAGCCTCTGCTTTCTCATCTGTTTAACAAAAAAAAAAAAGTCTTAGATGAAATGATATGTATGAAATTGCTTTAAAAACTATAGGATATAAGGGGAATATTTTTTATCAGTTGTTCTTTCTTCTGTTGAGTCCTTTGGGACAGAGGGAGGTGCTACCAGGAATTGCTTTTTTTTTTTTTTTTTTGAGACAGAGTCTCGCTCAGTTGCCCAGGCTGGAGTGCTGTGGCGCAGTCTCAGCTCACTGCAACCTCCGCCTCCCAGGTTCAAGCAATTCTCCTGTCTCAGCCTCCCAAATAGCTGGATCAGATGCCTGCCACCATGCCAGGCTAATTTTTTATATTTTTAGTAGAGACAGGGTTTCACCATGTTGGCTAGGCTGGTCTCAAACTCCTGATCTTGTGATCCACCCGCCTTGGCCTCCCAAAGTGCTGGGATTACAGATGTGAGCCACCACGCCCAGCCAAGAAATTGCTGTCTCTAAGAGAAGGCTCCCCTGATCTAAGTCCATTTAGGCCAGGCATGGACTGAGGCAGGAGGATCGCTTGAGGTCAGGGATTCAAGAGCAGCCTGGGCAACATGGTGAAACCCTGTCTCCACTAACAATAGAAAAATTAGCTGGGTATGGTGGCGCATGCCTGTGGGGGTGCAGGGGAGGCAGGAGAATGGCTTGAACCTGGGAGGCAGAGGTTATCGTAAGCCAAAATCACATCACTGCACTCCAGGCTGGGCAACAGTCAGTCTGTCTCAAAAAAAAAAAAAAAAAAAAAAATGGAAAATGCATTTAAAGTAACTTTGGAAAAAATGAATTAAGAACTTTTCCTTTCATAATTAAAAAACAGCAAACTGACTACCTAATAAAGCCAGCAGTTGCAACTAGGGAGCATTATCATGGCATAGCAGAGTTTCCCAAACTGTGGCTCCAAAGCCCCATGGAGCTCTTTCAGCACATTATGCAAGTCTTTGGCACAAAGTAGAAAGGAATAAGGGTGGCATTAAAAGTTCATATATAGTAGTAAGGGTTTGGAAGAGAGATGAAGATACACACTCAAGGAAAATTCATGTAGAATGGTCGTCAGCTGGGAGAGGAATAAGTACGTACTCATGAATAATCACTTTTATGGTTCTATAAATAAAGCTTTAAAGCTTTATTACTTGCTGCTTAAATGTATTTTCAAGTGTTATGTTGCAAAAAAAAAAAGAGGGAGAGAGAAATGAGCTTCTTTAAACAGGGACATCTGAATTCTGTGGGGCCAGTTTTGTAGGGCTGGATGAGGCTTATCACAGACATGTGTACTGATGCCCAGGGGAATGGGGAGCTTAGAGCAAAGCAGTAAAATTGTCAGTGAAGCCATTAATTGAGAAAAATAACTTCATGAGGCTTAGCACATGGGCCATTATGGTGTGCTTCTGATAGGCGAAGAGTGGAAGAGAAGTCCAAGGGAGAACGGGGAATGTGAAGGACAATAAACATTGATGGTGATGCATGCTGACAAATTATCAGCACAGCCAAATATTTCTCCTGCTTCGAAAACACGGAACCCAAAGCTAAGCCATCCCCCTGGGCTTTTGACATTAACCATCTGTCAAACACTAGCAGGGCTTAAGTGAAAGCATTCATTATAAATTAAAAAGTTAAAAAGTTGTGCTAATTAAGATTGAAAGGGAACCCAGGGGACATTAAGCAGTGAGGGAAAATTAGCCCTTCATGATTGGGGCTCATGATTGTGCCTGTCTATTCTTATGGTTTTTGTAAATATACTAATTATAATCACTGTGTTTCATAGTTTTGATAAAAAGCATAAAGTATCAGTAAATCCCCCCAAAAGTATGCCGCCATCTTTGACTCATGCCGGTGATGAGCTTCCTGGGAGAGCTTGGCTGTTTGAGCTACAGGGCCGGGTGTGGCTCAGGTCCCCTCTCCACAGGCGGTAGTTTGCCCTCATCAGCCTTCTAAGTGATGCAGGATAACTGTGAAAATGAAGAAATATTGGATGTGAGGCAGAGAAGAGGACATGGGTACCAAGGAAATCCAGTCAGGGGAGCAAAGCAAAGTGAGGGTAAAACTCTGGCAACTGCAGCCATGGAGTGAATCTGTTACGCTAGACACAGCCTAGGTGTGATGCCAGGGCAGAAAATCATGTCTTCATCTGATACATAAATGGCACCGGAAGGATCCAGACCCCAAGAGAAGGTTCTTGAATCTCCTGTAAGTTCATAAAGTGAAAGCGAATTTATTAAGAAAGTAGAGAAATAGGTCGGGCATGGTGGCTCACACCTGTAATCCCAGAATTTAGGGAGGCTCAGGCGGGGATCACCTGAGATCGTGAGTTCTAGAGCAACCTGGCCAACATGGTGAAACCCCATCTCTACTAAAAATGTAAAAATTAGTGCAGCATGGTGGTGGGTGCCTGTAATCCCAGCTACTCGGGAGGCTAAGGCAGGAAAATGGCTTGAACCTGGGAGGCGGAGGTCGCAGTGAGCTGAGATTGTGCCACTGCACTCCAGCCTGGGCAACAAAGCAAACTCTGTCTCAAAAAAAAAAAAAATATATACACACACACACACACACACACACACACACTTATATATACACATACATATAAACTTCACAGTAGTCAGACACCATTTTCATTAAACTTCAAAGATTTTCAACCTTGTATAAAGACATACAGTATCTATCTATCTGTCTGTCTATCTATCTATCTATATTATTTTTTTGAGGTGGAGCTTTGTTCTTTCACCCAAGCTGGAATGCAGTGGCTCAATCTCGGTTCACTGCAACCTCTGACTCCCGGGTTCAAGGGATTCTCCTGCCTCAGCCTCCCGAATAGTTAGGATTAGCTGGGATTACAGGCACCCACCACCACACCTGGCTAATTTTTGTATATTTAGGAAAGATAGGGTTTCGCCACGTTGGCCAGGCTGGTCTCAAATTCCTGACCTTAGGTGATCTGCCCTCCTCGGCCTCCCAAAGTGCTAGGATTATAGGCATGACCCACCACGACCGGCCCTATATTTTTAATTTTAACAGCAGATTCCTGCAATTCTTAGGGATGGAAGGAGCTGTCTTTTTGAGGGAGAGACTTTGCTAAACTCACAGGGAGGGACGAGGCCTTGAGGGCAAGGATGTCAGCAGACTCTAGGACTTCAGAGGTCAGGGAAAACCTGCCTGGCTAGAGATGAGAGGAAGAGTTTGTTGTTTCTGCTCCTGGAAGGGAAGAGGAGGAGGAGGAGAGGGAGTGGGGAGGAAAGAGGTAGAAGGAGGAGGAGAGAAGCTGAGATTCCGTAGGGGAGAGAGGCGGGAACAGTACTAGATAGTGATACCACCTGTTCCAATTAAACTTGTTTGCTGTTACTGGGATGTGAATACCTCCCTCCATCTCTGCAGTAAATTCTACTCCTTACACATAGAAGCAAGATCTGAGAAGGGTAGAAGGCCAAGAAAACCAACACTCCTTAGGATAATTCACAGGAAACGAGATGGGCTTTGAATTCCGAGGCCCTGGAATTGGGCTAAGAGGACCCTAGCTGACATCTTGTTCCTTTTCTTTGTTTTTTTCCTTTATATAAAACAAATACCTCTTTTTTTTTTTTTTTAATAAAAACAAATACCTCTTGTGTAACACTGAACTCTCACCTGGGAGTTCGACGTCCTCACTTTGGAGGTCCTGAGCCGGCCATGGGTTTCCAAAGGCCATTTCAGAGCATTCACTTGACTGCAAGTAACAGAAGTCTGCAGTTGCCTTAGATTACATCTTACGTTTTTCTGTGCTCTGCTCATTTCAGAGGCTCATTCCAGCCTCTGAAATGACCTTCTTCGCCTCTCTCCAGGGATAACTTTACTCTTAGTGTCCTGATTTTTTTTTTTTTTTTTTGAAAAGGAGTCTCGCTCTATAGCTCAGACAAGGGTGTAGTGAACTCTGCAACCTCCGCCTCCCGGGTTCATGCCATTCTCCTGCCTCAGCCTCCTGAGTAGCTGGGATTACAGACTCCCGCCACCACACCTGGCTCATTTTTGTATTTTTAGTAGGGATGGGGTTTCACCACATTGGTCAGGCTGGTCTCAAACACCTGACCTCATGATCCACCCATCTTGGCCTCCCAAAGTGCTGGGATTACAGGCATGAGCCACCATGTCCGGCCACTGTCCTGATTTTTAAAAATGCTTCTTCAAGCTTTCTCACCCTTTCCCCCTCACTCAAAAGAGGAAAGAAAAAACCAGGAATATACTCTAAAGTGATTCCTGGCTCGTACTGTGGAATGAACAATGGCTTAAGAATCCGGAAACCCCAGTTCTAGTTTCAGCTCTGCCACTAATGAGTGGCACTCAGCTTCCCTGAGTCTTTGTTTCCTCATTTGTAAAATCAGGGTTTGGTGGGTGTGGTGGCAAGGGACACAGGAGGTCGAGGTGGCAGGATGGCTTGAGGCCAGGAGTTTAAGACCAGCCTGGGCAACATAGTGAGACCCCATCTCTACAAAAATTAATTAGTCAGGCGTGGTGTTGCATGCCTGTAGTCACAGCCGGTTGGGAGGCTGAGGTTGGAGGATTGCTTGAGCCCAGGAGGTTAAGGCTGCAGTGAGCCATGATTGTGCCACCGCATTCTAGCCTAGGTGTGAGAGCACTTAAGTAAATAAATAAATAATAGTAGTAGTAGTAGTAGTAATAAAATGAGAGTTTGCTATGGGGCCCCATGGGTTTCTAGGCGTTCATACCCCTCTCTCTCCTGATACTTGAATAACACAGCTGTGATTAAAATGACTTGAAGGCTGGGCACAGTGGCTCACGACTGTAATCCCACCACTTTGGGAGGCCAAGGCGGGTGGATCATGAGGTCAGGAGTTTGAGACCAGTCTGGCCAACATAGTGAAACCCGTTTTAACTAAAAATACAAAAAATTAGCTGAGTGTGGTGATATGTGCCTGTGATCCCAGCTACTCAGGAGGTGGAGGCAGGAGAATCGCGTGAACCCGGAGGTGGAGGTTGCAGTGAGCTGAGATTGCGCCATTGCACTCCAGCCCAGGTGACAGTATGAGACTCCATCTCAAAAAAAAAAAAAAAAAGACTTTATCTAAAATACCCCACACCAAGAAAACTTCGTTAGATTCATGAATCCTAATTTTAAACCAATACAATCTGATTTCTGTTTCCAATCTTTTTCTTTGAACTTTAGGAAGTATAATGAACCAAAACAGAAGAGTTTATAAAACAGAGTTTCTGCAGAAGCTTCCTTGCAGGCAGTCTTTAATATACTGCTTATCAAATTCTGATGCACTCCTCAAGAGAGGTACTTTGGGGTTTTTTAAATCAAAATTAAAATTTTTTCTTTCTTTTGAGACAGGGTCTTACTCTGTTGCCCAGGCTGGAGTGCAGTGGCATGATCATAGCTCACTGCAGTCTCTACAACTTCCTGAGCTCGGGATCCTTTCACCTCAGCCTCCCAGGTAGCCAGGACCCGTGTGCTGTCAAGTCTGGCTAATTGTGTGTTTTTTGTGTGTGTACGTTTTGTAGAGACAGGATCTTGCTGTGTTGCCCAGGCTGGTCCCAAACTCCTGGCCTCAAGCAATCCTCCTGCCTCAGCCTCCCAAAGTGCTGGGATTACAGGTATGAGCCACTGTGCATGGCCAGGTGTTCATTTTACAACAATGTCTGCTTGCTTTGAATGTGCGGAACCAAAAATATCCATCAGAGAGATTTTTAACTATTTCATTTAACAATGAAATTCTTGGGAATTCCATTTGGAAAGAAAAATAAGAAAGAATATGGGCTTTGCAGTCAAACAGACCTGGGTTCTTGTACTAAGCAGTATGACTTAAGTTACTTAGCCTCTCTAAGCCTCAGTGTCTTTGTCTGTAAAATGGGAATAATGACACCTACCTAAATCCCAGCTCTATATTAAGCATTTAATACATGTTCCTGCTCTCTTTTGTTTGATATCATGTTATTATTTTTTTTTCTTTCTTTTCTTTTCCTTTTAGACAGTGTCTCACTCTGTCACCCAGGCTGGAGCACAGTGGGGCCATCTCAGCTAACTGCATCCTCTGTCTCCTGGGTTCAAACAATTCTCATGACTCAGCCTCCCAAGGAGCTGAGATTACAGGCACTTGCCACCATGCCAGGCTGATTTTTGTATTTTTAGTAGAGATGAGGTCTCACCATGTTGGCCAGGCTGGTCTCAAACTCAAAATGGACCTCAAAGTCATCCATTTGCCTCAGCCTCCCACAGTGCTGGGATTACAGGTGTGAGCCACTGCGCCTGGCCTGCTTTGCTTTCTAAGGACACAGATTGGGATGCAAATAGCCTAGTCTCAGTGCCCTTCGTACCACTGTTTTAGTATCTGGTGATTTTGGCTAAGTTGTGTAACCTCTCTGAGCCTTTTTCCTCATCTGTTAAATGGAGTTAGTAACAAGACTCACATCACTGAATTGGGAGGAGGATGTAAAGCATTTAGCACAGTACCTTGCTCAAAGCTAGTAGTGGTAATAATAGTAGTAACAGCAGTAAAAATCATACAAAGCCATCACCTGAGCCCACAGGAAAGATGAGAGAAATCTGATGGTGGCTGCGGCTGAGAGACAGATGGAGGAGGAAACAGCCAGGCAGCCAGAAGGCATTTGTGGGAGGTTTTGGCCTGTGGAACAAGAGTTGCCTTTTCGCTTTTTCCTTGCCCTTCCCCATTTCTCTTCTTCATCCCACTTTGTCTTTTCCTTATGGTCAGTTTCTTTTCTTTTTTTGAGACAATTTCACTCTGTTGCCCAGGCTGGAATGCAGTGGTGCAATCTTGGCTCACTGCAGCCTCCGCCTCCCAGGTTCAAGCAATTCTTGTGCCTCAGCCTCCTGAGTAGCTGGGATTACAGATGTGTACCACCACACCCAGCTAATTTTTGTATTTTTCGTAGAGACAGGGTTTCTCCATGTTGCCCAAGCTGGGCTCGAGCTCCTGGTCTCAAGCGATCTGCCTGCCTCAGCCTCCCAAAGTGCTGGAATTACAGGTGCGAGCCCCCGTGCCTGGCCCATAGGGTCAGTTTCCACTATAACAGTTGCATTCATAGCTGTGTGGAATGTAAGCCATGTAGTTTCAGCTCCTGCAAGGCCTCCATATAATCTTGTGCCTGCATGTGGACTCCTCATCATTGTGCTATTTCTTGTTTTTTTTCTTTTTCTTTTTTTTAGAGGCAGAGTCTTGCTCTGTTGCCCAGGCTGGAGTCTGGTGTGGTGCGATCAGAGCTCACTGCAGCCTTGACCTCCTGGGCTCAGGTGATCCTCCTGGCTCAGCCTCCCAAGTAGCAAGGACTACAGATGCACACCACCATACCCAGCTAATTTTTTGATTTTTTGTTTGTTTGTTTGAGACAGAGTCTCATTCTTTCGCCCAGGCTGGAGTACAGTGACATGATCTCAGCTCACTGCAACCTCCACGTCCTGGGTTCAAGTGATTCTTCTGCTTCAGCCTCCTGAGTAGCTGAGACTACAGGCACATGCCACCATGCCCAGCTAATTTTTGTATTTTTAGTAGTGACAGGGTTTCACCATATTGGTCAGGCTGATCTTGAACTCCTGACCTCATGACCCACCCACCTCGGCCTCCCAAAGTGGCGGAATTTTAGGCGTGAGACACTGCGCCCAGCCATAATTTTTCAATTTTTTTTTGTAGAGACAGGGTCTCATTATGTTGCCCAGGCTGTTCTTGAACTCCTGGCCTCAGGCAATCCTCCCGCCTTGGCCTCCCCGAGCGCTGGGATTACAGGTGTGGGCCACTGCCCCTGGCCAGTGTTTCGTTTCTTACTCCATGCTCCTAGACTGAAGAGGGCATGTGTGTTGAACTCGGTGCCATGAATTATGTGCTGTGTGCACTCCAGTGCCTAAGAACTACAAATTTGGTTGTTGTTAATTTTTGATACCTAAGAGATGAAAAAGCCTCCTTGGTAAGAATCCCGGGGGCAAAATCAGCTCTCAGGTGTCCCCACCCCACTGCTTGGAGTCTTCGCATTTCCCTTTGCTGGGAAGACAGCTGAGTTTACTTGTTCTGTCTTGTTGCCTCTTGCTTTATGAGGCTATCCATAATAAATTGCTGTGGTATTTCCAATGGAAATGATTCTCTCTGCTCTCATTCACTGAGCATTTAGACTAATGCCAAATGGCTATTTGTTTTTATTTTATTCACACAAATTAAATTCCATTCAGGATTTACCAGAAGAGAACTGTGTTTGGGATCTATATACATTAGTTATAACACGCTTTAGTCACTGTTACCGTTGGGGTTTAGTATCTATGTATGTAGGCTGGATGCAGCAGCTCATGCCTGCAATTCCAGCACTTTGGGAGGCTGAGGCAGGGAGATCAATCACTTGATCCCAGGAGTTTGAGACCAGCCTGGGCAACATAGTGAGTCCATCCCCAAACTCTACAAAAAATGAGTTAGCTAGGTATGGTGGCGTGTGCCTGTGGTCCCAACTACTGGGTAGGCTCAGGTGGGAGGATTGTTTGAGCCTGAGAGGTTGAGGCTGCAGTGAGCTATGATTGCACCACTGTACTTCAGCCTGGTTGACAGTGAGATCCTGTTTTAAAAAAATAACATAATGCAAAATAAGATGTATGCATGTAGTATGTGTGTGTGTGTGTGTGTCATTTAGTAATATGGTATTTCACCACAAACTACACTGGAAGCCAGTTTTCTAAGATATGTTTTGAAATATGAGTTCACAATGATTACTAACAACCAACCACTGTTGAGAAATGCTGAGTGTATGATAAAATTGTATCGTTTGCTAAGAAGAACGACGGCAAGGAAAACCTGGCCGGCCCCCACCAAGTGGAAAACTGCTTGGGGCATTCTAAAGTGGCAAGACAGTTGATGTATATCACACACCGGTGAAAACAATTCTGTAAGCGCAGGATATGTTACCCTGCCCCCGTGGCTCCCTCGTGGAGAATGCTTTTTAGTGTGTCGGTGATCAGTGGTAAGCAGGCACCAGCTGCCTGCCTAGTTTATTTTTGTTCTGTGAGAAAATACCAAACACCTGTTTGTTAATAAGAATCACCTGTTCAGAGAGACTATGTGCGTCAACGTCTGCTCGCGGCCCTCAGCCCTGAATGTTGTCAGCCTCTGAGGCTCTCAGCTCAGAAGGCTGTTGCCCCCACCCCAGATAGACCCACTTTGCTGTTCTGTCTGGGTATCTGCTTCTTAATGCTTTCAGCGCCGCCTGGATGGGGTCTCTATGGCCGAGCTGGTCTCAGTAAACCTCTTAGACCTTATGGCCTTTGAACGTCTGCACCACATCCCCACCTATTTCACCCACTTGGAGGCCCAAAGATGTCGTCACATGGTCTTGGATTTAAATTTCAAAACCCTGGCTCGAGTTGCTTAGCCTTCCTCTGCAGCTGAAAACATCACCCCAAGGTTACTTAAAAGATAAAGACAAAGCCAGGCCCGTGGATTCTTTAAAGCTGCGTTGGTTATTTCTAACAGCTTGCCTCTATTTCCGCCACAAGCATAAGCTGGGAGGAAAAGGGAATGTCCTGCTCATAGTCGTTGGCCAAAGCAGGGGCCCTGTGGAAGGTGAGCAGACAGGACTGAGCAGCCTTCTGGGCTCCAAACAGAGGGGAGACAGCAGGGTCCTCCAGAATTCCTAGATGGAAAGTTCTTGAAGCAACTCCATCCTGGGGATTAAGCATCCTCTCCGCCGGGTAAGGCTGGACTGGGACTAGCATGGCTCTCTTAGGCCTTCCTCTTAGAAGAAGCCCCACCCCCACCGGGAGGATGATGACCTCATCAGCCATCTCCTCTGCACTCTGAGCATTTGTCTCTAACCCCAACCTGTGCTTTAGGCAGTTTACAGGGGTGAGTTTAAACTGCTTGCACTGCTAAACCAACAACTTCTGATTTTATGTTTTTCAAACAAGAATCCGTATTTATATATAGTATTACCACATCACTCTGATAGCAGCAGGAGGCAGCCAAATGCCTGGGCAGATAGGGGTGGCTCCCTGGTGAAACCCCACCTCAAGCCATAGTTTAAAGCCTGAAAGCCAAGCTACAAGTCAAATCCACAGACCAACTTGAGAACCTGTCTTCCCGTCTGGCATGCTTTCCTCTGATTGATCCCCACCCCTCACCTATTTTACACGTACCTACCCTTTCCTAATTGTTTTTCTACCCCATTGTGCCCACCGTCAAGTGGTGTCTTTGCTTTAACCTTTTGTGTATACTCACAAACCAGTCAGCACACACTCCCCATTCTGAGTCCATAAAAAGCCCCTGACCCAGCCACACAGGGAGAGAGGAACCACCCAACTGTGGGGGTGGGGGACCTCCCTACCCTTCTGTGTCCGGTCTCCGCCGAGAGCTGTTCTGTCCTCAATAAAATCCTCTGCCCTTATCACCCTTCAGTTGTCATCATGACCTTATTCTTCTTGGATGCTGGACAAGAGCTCAGGACCCCA